CCTGGAAAGGGATTTGGGGGTCCTGGAAAGGGATCGGGGGTCCTGGAAAGGGATCGGGGAATTCTGGGATCACTGGGATCCTGGAAAGGGATTGGGGGGCCCTGGAAAGGGATCGGGGGACCCTGGAAAGGGATTGGGGGCTCTTGGAAAGGGATTGGGGGTCCTGGAAATGGATTGGGGAATTCTGCGATTAAAGGGACCCTGGAAAGGGATTGGGGAATTCTGGGATCACAGGGATCTGGGAAAGGGATTGGGGGTCCTGGAAAGGGATCGGGGAATTCTGGGATCACTGGGATCCTGGAAAGGGATTGGGGGGCCCTGGAAAGGGATCGGGGGTCCTGGAAAGGGATTTGGGGGTCCTGGAAAGGGATCGGGGGTCCTGGAAAGGGATTGGGGAATTCTGGGATCACAGGGATCCGGGAAAGGGATTGGGGGAACATGGAAAGGGATCAAAGGAATCCTGGAAAGGGATCAGTTGTCCTGAAAATGGACTGGGGGATTCTGGGACCAAAGGGATTCTGGAAAGGGATGGGGGATTCTGGAATTGGATCAGAGGGATCCTGGAAAGGGATTGGGGAGATCCTGGAAAGGGATTGGGGGATACTGGAAAGGGATCAGGTGGATCCTAGAATCCAGGAGAGGATGGGGCTGAAATTCAGGAGAGGATGGGACTGGAATTCAGGAGAGGATGAGGCTGGAATTCAGGAGAGGATGGGACTGGAATTCAGGAGAGGATGGGGCTGGAATTCGGGAGAGGATGGGGCTGGAATTCAGGAGAGGATGAGGCTGGAATTCAGGCGAGGATGGGGCTGGAATTCAGGAGAAGATGGGGCTGGAATTCAGGAGAGGATGGGGCTGGAATTCAGGAGAGGATGGGGCTGGAATTCAGGAGAGGATGGGGCTGGAATTCGGGACAGGGATGGGACTGGAATTCAGGAGAGGATGAGGCTGGAATTCAGGAGAGGATGAGGCAGCACAGGCAGTGGCTTTTCCCTGCTCCGGGATGTGTCAGACAGAGACACTTCCACGCCTTTTGGGGCCCTCTCCAGCCCCTCCAAACCTGGCTGCCGGCACCCTGCCCAGCCCAGCTGCTTTGCATCCCAAAAAATCCACTTTGCACCTTTATCCCCTAGCCCGGGCATGGATAAAAATGCAGTTCCAACATTATTTCCTGATCCCGAGGGATTGGAGCACTGGGATATCTCCCGTCATTCCCGGGCTGGGAGGAGAGGATGGATCAGATCTCAGATCCCAAGGGACTTGAGCACTGGGACATCTCTCCTGATTTCTGGGCTGCCAGCAGAGGCTGGATCCCATCCCGAGGGATTGGAGCACTGGGACATCTCCCCTCATTCCCCTCATTCCCGGGCTGGGAGGAGAGGCTGGATCCCATCCCGAGGGATTGGAGCACTGGGACATCTCCCCTCATTCCCCTCATTCCCGGGCTGGGAGGAGAGGCTGGATCAGATCTCAGATCCCAAGGGATTGGGAGCACTGGGATATCTCCCCTCATTCCAGGGCTGGGAGCAGAGGCTGGATCCCTCAGGATTGGGAGCACTGGGATATCTTCCCTCATTCCCGGGCTGGGAGGAGAGGCTGGATCAGATCTCAGATCCCAAGGGACTGGAGCACTGGGATATCTCCCCTCATTCCCGGGCTGGGAGAAGAGGCCGGATCAGATCCCAAGGGATTGGGAGCACTGGGATATCTCCCCTCATTCCAGGGCTGGGAGCAGAGGCTGGATCCGATCCCAAGGGATTGGGAGCATTGGGATATCTCCCCTCATTCCCGGGCTGGGAGCAGAGGCTGGATCCGATCCCGAGGGATTGGGAGCACTGGGATATCTCCCCTCGTTCCGGGCTGGGAGCAGAGGCTGGATCCCATCCCAAGGGATTGGGAGCACTGGGATATCTCCC